GAGGGAAATGAGACAGACAGGAGTCCTTTTACATGTCTTTTTATTCCTGTCTCCAGCAGTACATAGAAATGTGACTGCACCCTTCAGTCTCCATTAGAAGAGACACAACCCTCCGCCCCTGTAATTCCAGTACAGGTCAGATGACACTCTGAGCTAACATCTGGTGCTCAGTACAGAGAAAAGACTCCACCTTTTCTCCAAGAGTACATCTGCAAACCACAACATCCTGTTTTGCATTCCAGCCATCTGGAGCTGGCTTTTGCCTTGGTGCTTTTTCCTGACATCCTCCCCCAAAAGCATCAATAGGCAAAACATGATCCAGAGAAGAAAACAAACAGTTGTTATACATATAACAGTCCCCTGTTGTTTCAGTTCCACCCTTGGAACTCCCCACCACTGGTTTCACCAGTGTACCTCTCTGGTTGTCTGGCTTCCAAGGAATGAGTGCATCTGCATTACCTTGGTTTGCTACTCTCTGTTGTGTCTTTGTCTCTGACTTAGACACTGCTTTAACCTGTTTTGAATTGTTAACAATAGCAACATATGCAACAGCTAAGTTAGCAAACTCTTTTGAGTACCTCTTGGGTGGTACACCCTTTGTAACCCTCTCAGACCTGCGTATGAGGTGCTGATCCTCTGTGCTCACTGGTTCATCCTCTGGACTTTGTTGAGAACCAGTAGCATTGTCTAACAGTGGTTCTTCCTTCATCTGTGAAGGTCTAGCCATTGTGTGAGATTTTCTCTCAATGACTGTTACAACTGAACTCTCTGAGCTATCACTGTCATCATCAGTACCACTGTAATCTGTGACATCAGAAAAGTCGTCATCATCTGAATGGTCACCTGTGGGAAATGTTTGTTCTACAACCCGCTCTTGTTCAGGAGCACTCTCTAGGAACTTTGTGAGAATCACCTGACCAGATTCAGACAAAATTACTCTATAGAGACCCTTTTCATATCCCACAAAAATGCCTTTGGCATTCTTTACTCCACCTGGAGCTTCTGTTCTCACATGAGACCCGAAAACCTTAAAATAGGCAACAGAAGGTTTTCTATTGAACAGCTTCTCAAAAGGAGAACATCCCAACTCTGTTGAGACTTTTCTCACCCACACATGAAGATAGGACGCTAGCGATTCGGCCCAATATTCATGTGGCAAATGTGAACTCAGCAATTGCGCATTCATCCCCTTTTGCAATTCTTTGTTCACCCTAACACAGACCCCTCTGTTCCACGCTTCTGGCGAGACAGCAACTTTGTGGTCTATCCCTTCTCCATCCAGGAACTTCTGAAACTTCTGTAACAGAAAAACTTGTTTGTCATCTGTGAAGAGACAATCAATGTTAGCATCATGCATATTTTTAACCTTGTCACAAAACTCCTGAAACTTTTCTAAAGTTTCCTGCGGTTTCTCCATCAAATAAACCCAAGAATAATTAGTGAAACAATCCACACACAAAAGGTAATATTTTGCTCCGCCTCTAGATGGTTCTAGAGGACCAACCACATCAGCATACACCCGCTGAAATGCTCTGTGGACCTTCTTGGTCACCTTCCTGGTGCTCACACTGGCCACACCTGCAAGAGAGATTTCATTAGAATCAGAAGAATTACATTTCATGTAATCACTTTGATCAAAAGTCAACAAATACAGTCCATCTTTCTCTCTGGCAGTAAGAAACAGTTCTCCATCTTTGAAGATCTTGCAGCTTTTAGCATCATAGGACAGTTTCAGTCCTTTCTTTGCAATCTGCGACACACTCAGCAGATTAAATCTCAGTTCTGAAACTAGGTAAACATCACTTATAGTCAAGTTCAGACTCTCAAGATACACAGTCCCAATTCCGGTAGCTTCCAGCTCCTGACCGTTGGCCTGTTTCACAGTGAAGCTTTGCTTCTTAAACGTCGAAAACAGTTCTCGGTGCGGACACAAATGTTTTGTACATCCTGTGTCGATTATGAATGCGTTCCCAACATCTGGCGTAGTTCCTTTCGCCATCATAGCCTTTGCAGGTTTCACCTGGCACTTGGAACGGCTTTTGCCTGATGCCTCAGGCTTCGTAGAGCTGCTCTTTGCTCCTCTTGACTGTCGCGGCTTCTTACAGTTTCGCTGTAGATGCCCAGTCTGTCCACAATTGTAGCATCGGACAGCACTCAATGCTGCAACACGCTCTCCAGTAGATTCAGCAGTGGGGGAATTAGAACTCTGTTCTTCCCTCCCCCTGTCCTTCACTTCCAGGGCAGCAAGTCTGTCGTGTTCATTCAGGACCACAGCACACACTCTCTCCGCGGTTAGCTGCGCGGCCGGTAGGGAACCAAGCTGACTGGCAACAACCTTGTAGGTGCGATTAAGGCTGTTTATCATCATGAAGCAAAACACTTCCTCCTGTAGACGGAAATTGCGTTCCACCATCTGTTGACGCAGAAACTTCATTTCTGTCAGGTGCGCTTGAACATCTCCATCAGGCGCTAGTCTCAGATTGGTTAACTTCTCAAAATACAGCAACGCTGAAGAACCAGCATCTCTCTGATGTGTTGTGCGTAGCGTATCCCAAACCTCTTTTGCATTTTGTAAATGCTGAATGTGCACAAGCTGCTCATCTGAGACACACAGAATTATAGCAGTCCTGGCCCTCACATTCTGTGACTCCCAACCTCTGGTTGGTGCTGCAGGGATGGGGTTTTCAATTACATCAAAAAGCCTCTGATTCTGCAGCAGGGCCTTCATCTTTACAGACCAAGATGAATAATTGTCATTATCTAAGGGAGGTGGGTAAGGCAGAGCTCCCTTCTTGGCATCCATCTTGAAGCCAAAGCCTCCAGCTCACACTTTCAAACAAACTGTAAAATCCAACAGTTGTTTTTTTCTTTCTCAGGCAGGCAAACTGCAAGTTGTTTACGCTCTTTGGCACCTGGCAGCTAAACTCTGGCTGCTACGGAAAGTCCCTCCAAGAGCACGTAAACTTGTAGCCAAAACATTCTCTGGTTTTGTTTCGCTTTCCCAGGCTCACACTCACAGTCCAGCCCCTTTGCCAGTAACTTTCCAACTTTCCGTTACTTAGCAACAGTGCATACAGGACTTCTTATCTTAACCACAAAAATTTGTGGAATGCAGGCTGAGCTTCCAAGCTGCAGGCCTCTTCTCCCGGAGCGTTTGTTTTCTTTGAAACGCAGCTCCGTGAACCAGTGAATTAATCAAACTGCGTTCACAATTTTAGCCCGAAATGCAGCATACCTTGAACTATGTTGCTTGGAAAACACCTCGTCTTTCCACCAGCCGTCTATTGAGCCTCTGGCTTCTCTCAGACGCTTTTCTTCCTTGGAGCAGAGGAGGACACTTCACCAGCCTCTCTTGCAGATGTTCGATGAATCGCAACCATCCTCTGCTACCATATGTTAGTATCTTGGCTCACAGGCAGAGGTACCTGGCCTCCCCCGGGGCAATTGAGCGATATACTGTGTTTACCATCCGTCTGTTGACTGCCGGCAGGCTAGGTAAACAAACCCGGCGATTCTTCTCATTAGTCGTGAGAAAAACACACCCTCTGCTTTCCTCTTCTTCTCTCCTCCCCTGCATTCTCCCAGGGAGGGAAATGAGACAGACAGGAGTCCTTTTACATGTCTTTTTATTCCTGTCTCCAGCAGTACATAGAAATGTGACTGCACCCTTCAGTCTCCATTAGAAGAGACACAACCCTCCGCCCCTGTACTTCCAGTACAGGTCAGATGACACTCTGAGCTAGCATCCGGTGCTCAGTACAGAGAAAAGACTCCACCTTTTCTCCAAGAGTACATCTGCAAACCACAACATCCTGTTTTGCATTCCAGCCATCTGGAGCTGGCTTTTGCCTTGGTGCTTTTTCCTGACATCCACTCCAGATTTCTTTCTTAGGGTGCCTCCTTTTCTCTCCCTCACATCTCTTGGGGTTCCTTGGCATCTTCTATTTTCTTGAGAGTATTTTCCCAGAGGAAAAAACAAAACCCTGCTGCTTCTGTTGCAGCAACTGCACTGTATCATCCCTCTGACCAGACATTCATAGTTCTATTTCCACAGCTCCAGTTACGTGACATTCCAGCAGTTTTGCTATTGCCCTATAGGGGGAACTTATCTGTGCACTCAGTTTATATTATCAATACAGTGGTACCTCGGGTTAAGTACTTTATTCGTTCCAGAGGTCCGTACTTAACCTGAAACTGTTCTTAACCTGAAGCACCATTTTAGCTAATGGGGCCTCCTGCTGCTGCTGCGCTGCCGGAGCACGATTTCTGTTCTCATCCTGAAGCAAAGTTCTTAACCTGAAGCACTATTTCTGGGTTAGCAGAGTCTGTAACCTGAAGCATCTGTAACCTGAAGCGTATGTAACCCGAGGTACCACTGTATATGGCATTTTCTGCTCCACAATTTAGTTCTTCAAGTTGAATTTAAAAACATTAATTGGTGGGCGCACAAATACTTCTGCATCCTTTTAATGATGTGGCTTCAAACAGCATTCTGTGGAGCTCTAGTTTCTTAGAAGACTATCAGGGACTTCTCAGGGGAAAAAGCATCTCTGAATGACATTTATTGACCATTACCAGTGGTTCCCTGCAATGTACGACCCCAGAGGTTCTGGGTTGCACTGTTTTGTTCACACAGGTTAATGGTGGAATCTGATAGGTCTGGCCAGTGCTCCACATAAGGTGACTTTGTGCTTGAAGCAGAATTGTAAAACTCCTATAACACACAGGCATTCCATGGCCAGACAGCAGCAAGGATACTTTGCAGATGTTGAAGGGAAAGCTACTTGGAAGTAGAAACTTTGAAAACAAAAATTGTAGCTAACTTGGTTTTGAATATCCTATTTGTATTTCGTGTTGGACACTGACATGTTAAGAGTATGCAGTAATTAATGGAAAAATAAACTCTGTTACCTTTGTTTAAGAGGAACATAGCTGACAAAATTAAACTATCTTGGTTTATATTTCCTTGGTGTATTTTCTCTCTCTCTCTCTCTTTCTAGGTAGCTGATCGTTTGTTTTCATCTTTTGGTCAAGATATTTTGGATGCTCTTTACTGGACAGCTACAGAACCAAAGGAGAGAAAAAGGGCACACATAGGTGTGATCCCCCATTTTTTCATGGCGGTGCTGTACGTCTGTATCCTTTTGTGTCAGAATTGCAGTTCATTTTCATCTCTATGAATGCTAAAATAGTATTTAAAATGCATGGATTTGAGGACCATTACGTTTTATCTACAAACCTATTCAAAGTTCTGTGTCAGAATCTTCATCTTAATTAATGTAAGAACTTAAACTGGATTTTTTAAAAAAAGTAAATTAAAAACCTTCTATTAGGCAAGAATTAACTAAGGAGAACTCCTCAGTCCAGCCATGCAGGACTTGTACTTAAGCTGTCCTCTTACCACAAACTATAGCCAAGAACAAACCTTGTTGATATCCTGCCTTGTCCACATTGCATGTTTTCCAGTGTGGTGTAGTGGTTAAGAGCGGTAGACTTGTAATCTGGTGAACCAGGTTCGATTCCCTGCTCTTCCACATGCAGCTGCTGGGTGACCTTGGGCCAGTCACACTTCTCTGAAGTCTCTCAGCCCCACTCACCTCACAGAGTGTTTGTTGTGGGGGAGGAAGGGAAAGGAGATTGTTAGCCGCTTTGAGACTCCTGAAGGGGAGTGACAAAGCGGGATATCAAATCCAAACTACTACTCCTCCTCCTCCTCCTCCTCCTCCTCCTCTTCTTCTTCTTCTTCTTCTTCTTCTTCTTCTTCTTCTTCTTCTTCTTCCTGCTAACCTTGCTTTTAATGCTTGCCCCTGGCCTGGCTTGCATTAACTCTTGGCTAAACCATGGCTAAACCAAGGAGCCAGTGTTCAGGTGCTAGGAGAGAAAATGGCAGCTACTTATTTCCTTCCCTGGCCCTGCTGCTGCTAAGCTACCTAGAGCTGAGTCATGGCTGTGTTTATTGTTAAACCTAAACCCAGAGTTGTATTTTGTCTGGAGAAGAAAAACCAAAGTGGTTCACTACATTACCAAATGGATAACAAATATTTGTAGGGCATGCACACCCACGTCTCTCGGGGATAGTGGTAGCAAAGCAGTACAAGCAATTGTGGAACCTTCTCTTGGAATGCTTAAAATCATGCCATGGACATGGTTAATATAACTGCATGTTTATCAGCAAGCTACTCGATAGTATAGCACAGGCATAGGCAAACTCGGCCCTCCAGCTGTTTTGGAACTACAACTCCCATCATCCCTAGCTAACAGGACCAGTGGTCAGGGATGATGGGAGTTGTAGTCCCAAAACATCTGGAGGGCCAAGTTTAACTATGCCTGGTATAGCACAATGATACTTAAAAGTCTGCTTTGGTATCTTAAAACTTAGTGTAATACAGTGGTACCTCTGGATGTGAACGCGATCCGTTCCGGAGCCCCATTCGCATCCAGAAGCGAACGCAACCCGCATCCGCGTGTGTCGCGATTCGCCGCTTCCACGCATGCGCGTGACATCATTTTGACCGTCTGCGCATGCGCGAGCAGCAAAACCCAGAAGTAACGTGCTCCGTTACTTCCGGGTCGCCACAGTGCACAACCCGAAAATACTTACCCTGAAGCTACTTCAACCCGAGGTATGACTGTATATATTGCAATTTAATATTTTCTTCTAAAAAGCATTTACCTTAACATATATGACTACAGTCTTGCATGCTATCCTGATAATGGTCCAGGCAACGACACTCAATGTAGCCTTCAACTCGCACAACAAGTCACTTCTTACTATCATGATGTCTAACAATGTAAGTGTTTTATAGATATATTTGCCTCACTGGCTTTGGCAACTATGATGTGTGACAGTACTTCTGTTAAATGATTTATATGTTCTCAGTCAACATATTTTGTAGAAAATGTTTTTTTTAAAAAAAATAGAAGTATAAGAGTGTTACTTTCTTTAAATCGCAGTTTGTTGAAATTAAAGGAAGCGTTTTCAAGAAGTTTGAAAAGAATAATCTGTTTCAGATGTCAAACAGTGGTATGTACATATATGTGAGCTGCTAATTCAGGAGTATGTGCTTCTAATACATTATATATCATGTAGCATGTGTGAAAACAGTGGGTGGATTTGACAGAAATATAGGTGGCGGTATTTCATAAAAACCGGCGTGATCATAATTTGTGGTGCTTCTCTTCAAGTATGGCAAGGGGCTTGTTCACCATCCCAATCTGGGTTGGAAAAGGTTTTTCTCTTGAACAACAGTACTGAAAATAAAACCATGGGTGAGTTATGAAGTGGTGTACAATTTTAATCCTGTTTTGAGGTTTCGCTATTTTTAATCAGGCTAATAAAGATGGAACCAGACTAAGTTAGTTGTAATCAAGTCCCACAGAGCAGAATAATGAAGTTACAGTAGTCATGATGACTATTGTTTCATACTGACTTTCATGAAACCAACTCATGAGTAACGTTCTTTGGCTCCCACCATAACAAAGTAGCAGTTCTTTTATAGATATGTATTTATTTTGGTCTGGTTCACATATAAAATTAAGCCAAACCGTAGCCTAATGCAAGTGTTGGGGCTCCTGGGGAAGAGGCTGTGTCTGCTCCTGCGCAGACCGAAGCCATAGTTTGGTTTAGCATGTCATCCCAACCAGACTCGTGCTTTAACTCTGTCCAGACAAGTCATACATTGTGACCAAGGTTTGTCCACCTTACTTGGTTTTGAGATGAAATACAGTCTTCGGTCCATGTACCCCACTGCTGTCTTGCTTCGCTTCTAATTCTGTGCAGTGTAGGCGCATCACTTGCATGAATTCAATTAAACTCACTTGGCTCTGGCAGCCGCCTTCCTTTGCAATGGGGGGAAGAGAAAGTAAGGGAAGGCAGTTAAGAGACATGGGGAGGGCCTCAGTGAGGGGACCCCCCCCCCCTTGCTAGCAGCCAGGTAAACTTTGACTATATTCAGTGTTGCTTATATTCTTTGCCTCTGGAGCGGAACCCCCAGCTACACTATATTCAGATTTTATTGTGTGTTAAATTCATGCAAAGGTAAAGGGACCCCTGACCATTAGGTCCAGTCGTGGCCGACTCTGGGGTTGCGGCACTCATCTCACTTAATTGGCCGAGGGAACCGGCATACAGCTTCCGGGTCATGTAGCCAGCATGAACAAGCCGCTTCTGGCGAACCAGAGCAGTGCACGGAAACGCCGTTTACCTTCCCCTTCTACTTGCACTTTGATGTGCTTTCGAACTATAGTGGTACCTCAGGTTACATACGCTTCAGGTTACAGACTCCACTAACCCAGAAATAGTGCCTCGGGTTAAGAACTTTGCTTCAGGCTGAGAACAGAAATCGTGCTCCAGCGGCGCGGCAGCAGCAGGAGGCCCCATTAGCTAAAGTGGTGCTTCAGGTTAAGAACAGTTTCAGGTTAAGAACAGACCTACGGAACGAATTAAGTACGTAACCAGAGGTACCACTGTACTAGGTTGGCAGGAGCAGGGACCGAGCAACGGGAGCTCACCCCGTCGCGGGGATTCGAACCGCCGACCTTCTGATCGGCAGATCCTAGGCTGTGTGGTTTAACCCACCGCGCCACCCGCGTCCATAGCACTATTAAAAATACCGAAAATCTTATGTCACTCTCAACATGTTTCAAACACTTAAGTTCATTCCTGCCTCCTTAGAGGCCTGTGCCGAAGACCCATTGAATGCTGTGGGACTCACTTTCTGAGTAAATATGCATAGGACTGCTGTGTGATTAGCAATGATTTTTCATTCATTTTTTTCAGATGTTACATATAGCAGTAATTATTAAATCAAGCCAACTTATGATCCAGTATTGTAGAGCATCACTTTTGCTGTGTCGGATGTATGCCTTTCCCTGAGGAAGAATACAGTTGTTTATTATTCCAGCTGTGCATAGAACAAATGAACAATAAAGGCAACTTATTTCCCATGTTCAGATTGTTAGGTTGGATTTGATGAATCCATACATCAGTTGCGAACTTGTTCCATGCTCTTGCATAGAGAGTGCAGCTTTTTATAAGAAATATTAATCCACTACTAAATTTAGCCTCTGTATAAGAACTCTTTTGTAGAATGGTGATGCAAATTGCTATTTTTGTAGCCTTAAAAGTTTATTATTCTTTTTAGATATAAAGGAGAGATTCACCAACTATGTGCTGTTACTGATAGTTTGTCTAAGAAACATGGAACAGTTTTCATGGAATCCAGGTAAAGTCTATTTCCAGACAAGAAATATAGAATAAAAATTTGGAGACATTTTAGTTGTATTGACTGCCAGCAGCATAAACATAATTTGGCTGTACCTATTTTAATGCAAAAGTGGTTGACTTGATTAATTCTTCAGTATGTTATCTGTGTATTGTCACTGGATCTTATTATCGTGTGTGTATGCTATATTAATGATTTATCCAAGTGCTTTAATTCAGGTTAAAACATAATGCATAATGCTCTGGGTAACAGAGCAGGAGAGGAGCAAAGTGTTGCAATTTCCTCTCTGTGCATGAGTACACTTGTTCTTTCACAGTAAGCTATGAACACTATAGTGTTACGTGCTAATGAGACTATAGAAGGTTTTCTGTAGGCTGAAGTTTTCTAATTTTTCAACAAAATAGTGTTATCTTTCTGCCTCATTCACACCAAAAGTTAGCACTCCAGAGCTCATTCTTTTGTATATACCCTGTCATGCCTAAGAAGGAGTGGCATTTGCTGGACGTCTGCAGGGACCTTATATTCTATAAATAATAATAATAATTAATAATAAATTTTTATTTGTACCCCGCCCTCCCTGGCCGGAGCCGGGCTCAGAGCAGCTAACATCATATAAATAATACAATATGCATAAAAACAAAGGATCGATCGATTAAAATGCATCCCAAAATTAATTCAAATAAATTAAAGTTAAAACAGGACAGATGACAATCCTCAGGTTAAAATTGAAAGCGGTTGATACTCACCAGGTCTTTCAGAAAGAAAGAAAAATGTTTCTACTGCTACTCTCTGGGTGGCTGTTAATATAGGCCTAACTCATTCCTCCGCCATCTTCTCCTGGATGATATCCTGGCACATTCTGTTAGAAGGTTACCTGCAGGTATTTTTTTTAAGAGAGCCTCACTGAAAAGATTTGAAGAGCAAAAGCACATGTCTTATTTCACAATGCATCATTGATTCCTTTCTCTTCCTGTGGCTGCCTTTGATCACAAAGCCCTCCCAGAGAGCACTGGAAGTTTAGGCCCTGTTATTTTGGCACAGGAGTATTCATGCTTTCACTAAGATACACTGCTTTTGGCTATCCCCATGTTCATTAAATTCTGCAGGACCCTGTTGAGAGAAGAAGAAACAACATCTTACTTGGTGAACACCTGTTATTCTCATAGATTCTAGCTATCCAGATCATAATTTAGGCCTTCTGATACTAGGAAGTGGAACCTACCCCCAGTCATGAATGAGACTTATCTATGAGAAGAACAGAAATTAATCGCATGAGAATTTCTTAATTTGTACACACAACACTTTCTTCAGAGGAGTTACATTGGTGTGGATTATGGCCAAGTGTGTGATATTGTAGCTTGTGTGGTGCAGAAACCTCAGCAATTATTACCTTGGCATTTCCTGAGGTTTCTAACACGTAGACATTTGCAGCTTCAGGTTCTGACTGTTGGGCCAAACAGTATGTACTTACCTTTTTCTGCCATTGGTTTTTTGTGATACATTTGTACATCTGACATTCACCCTGTCTTTTCAGATCATCTCTGGGTATTGTTTCCAGATGTTTGTATGGTGATTGCATCAGAAATTGCAGTAGATATTGTAAAACATGCTTTTATAACAAAATTCAATGACATCACAGCTGATGTAAGTATATTGTTGAACCACTGTACATTTCAATTTGAAATTGGGTATGATGCGGTCTTAGCATGGATGCAGTGTCTGTATGAAGAAGGCTCGTGTAGGGCTCAATAAACACCTCTTTTCTATTCAGGGTGGTAAATCGAGAATTGTGAGGAGGTGCAAAAAGGAGCCCTCCATATTGGTTAAGTAGGCATTGAAATGGCAAATATGCTTCACTTGTAAGCAACTGTAAAATGATGCAAATTTCATAGATATGCTACCCGTATAATAATGTCATTACACTCAGTTACTTGGAGTGCTGCGTTGCTTCACCTCAAAATGGGTGTTGAAGGCCTGTAAAAGGTGCTGAAAAGAGTAAAAGGGGGGGAAATGATCATGAGACTGGAGTAACTTCCCTATGAAAAAGGGTTCCAATGTCTGGAGCTTTTTAGTGCGGAAGGAATGTGAGCTCAGGTCAGATCTGATACACAAAACAAGTTCTTGGGCTTTAGAATTCTTTAATTCAAAGTGTATACCTTCTGCTCCTAGCTCTGCTTGGTTGATCTTGGGGGTTTTAGTAAAAAAGGAACAAACCCAAAATTACAAGATGAAAATGTGTTGTCTGCTAACGCCACAAGCCTTGTCCATCTCATATTAGCCATTAAAATTGTGTTTTAGTTTCAAGGACATTATAAAGAATAAGAATAGAGGCAAATATTTTCCCTTCATTGCATTCGTGTGCACATATGTTCATTTAGGAAGTGAGGTCAGATATAGACAGGGTGGCTGGATTTGCAAAGTAGCAGCAGTATAGTGTGGAAGCACATTTAATAAATGCACTTAATAAGTTATATTGTGCCAAAGGCAGTTATACATGGCCTACTTTTGTATAATGAGTGCAGAAATAATGCAGTGAAAAATGGAAATGATAGCTCTAGCCTACTAGATTTATTATGGTACCCAGACCTGTGAGGTTTCTTATTAACACATAGATTTTATAAATAAATAAAACTGATACTACGAAGAACCTGATTTCACACACACCCCATTTGAAGGGAATGGCCATTGCAAGTGCTGAATCAGAATTAGGCTTAGTAGCCTGAAAGTAGACACATACCTTTTTTAAAAAAAGCTTTTTCAGCTAGCGTCCAAGTAGATGTTCAGCTTTCCACCCACTTGTCGAGTTTTAATGTTCTTTGGAATAATATCAAAAAACAAGAGTTGCACCTTACTCCAGCTATATCTGCTTGGAGGTAAGATTGACTTATAAACAAGCAAGCCTAGAAATACTAGTTTTTATGAGAGAAACGTACTTAAGTGATTGCAGCAAAGCAGGTCAGTGATGTATAATTATAGACTCAATGTTTTATCTATTCATACTGAGCTTTTCTGGAACAAAACACTTAACTATCAGCCATATCTACTGCACACTGTTGGATATGGGCTATTAAATGCTTTTGGAGCTTTGCATGGATACACTTGAATAGATGTTGCATCTTAGTACCTGCATCTTTTTCTATGCTTGATACTGCATATGGGTTGATTAAACCCTGTGTACATAAGAATATCCACACGGTACTGCACTGATCCAGCAGAATCTGCTTTTTCCTATCCCATATCATAGGAATCCAGTTGTTAAACTTACTCTTCAATGATAAATGCGTATCTGAGAAACAGTACGGCAATGCTAAGTGTGCTAATCCTAAATTTATTTTTAATAATTACAGTACTCATTTTATTGCTGGTATTTACTTTGGTCAGAATGAAAGGACTTGTGTTGCTCTGTTTTCAGGTCTACAGTGAATACAGAGCCAGTCTTGCATTTGACCTTGTTAGCAGTCGACAGAAAAATGTAAGTAGCAGAATGAAAAATGCCTGTTCCTTACACTAAAGGACGTGCCTGGTTTTATTCCAGAAAATGGAATCCATCAGTTAATCAGAAATTGTGTTGGTCTCCAAGTGTTAGAAAAAGCTTACTTCACTCTTTGCACAGGGAATTAAAATGATGTGTACAAGTTTAATGTGATTCACTTGACATTTAGTTTTATATTAGTCTGTTTTCTTTTTTGCCATTCTATTTTAAAATATTGTTATTCACAATCTTCAGCATTCAAACTAAATAGGATGCTAGTACCTAACTATGCTGTGTTCCTGTCTCTATGTGAAGCTGAGCAAACTTCACAAACACATCAGCAAGTGAGAAGTGGGAGAGGCTGGATGAGAACATGAATGTTAGTCAGGGCTGTCGATCAAAGGGATGTGTATAGTTCACTGAAGAATGGAGCAAATATGAGAGGTGAGGTAAAGGTAGAGGGACCCCTGATCATTAGGTCTAGTCGTGGCCGACTCCGGGGTTGCGGCGCTCATCTCGCTTTATTGCCGAGGGAGCTGATGTAGAGCTTCCAGATCATGTGGCCAGCATGACTAAGCTGCTTCTGGCGAATTAGAGCAGTACACAGAAACGCCGTTTACCTTCCCGCTGGAGCAGTACCTATTTATCTACTTGCACTTTGACGTGCTTTCAAACTGCTAGGTTGGCAGGAGCAGGGACCGAGCAACGAGCTCACCCTGTCATGGGGATTCGAACCGCTGACCTTCTGATCAGCAAGTCCTAGGCTCTGTGGTTTAACCCACAGCGCCACCCACGTCCCGCATGTGAGAGGTGAAGTCAGTGATAATTGAAAACAGAAAGTGCAGTGTCGAAGAAGCAAGCAGAAAAAGCCTGGCGAATGACTAAATGGTTTGGAGGCTGCAGAAGCAGCAGAAACTGGATGTGGGGAGGTTGAGTTGTGTGCACTGTTGAATGTCATGATCAAACAGTAAGAATTTCACAGAAGAGAGAGCAGAAACAAAGCAGTTGTTGGTGAAGACGGGATCAAGAGGAGGTAAGGAAGAGAGGACAGAGGGCAAGTCAGCATAAAAGTTGAAATTGCTAAGGACCAAGTTCGGAGTTTTGTCAGAGAGGAAGAAAGGCAAGCCTGGCCTCAGCCTGTAATGAAGATTGAGTCATGGAATAGGGTGCTAAAGAAGTGTAATGCAGAGATGCAAAGTTCAAAGGTAGAGGAAAAAGTGGAGTAGGGAAGTGGGCAATGGGTGGGACTGACAAAATCTGGAAGGAGGGTAGTCATCTGGCCCCCACAACCTTCTGGACACGATTTGTGGGAGAATGAGATACCTGTGAGGGAAAGAGCAGCAACAGTCGCATTGTTCGAGTGTTGAAGCTGGGTTTCAGTGTTGGTATGTAGATGGTAGAGCTGAGATGGGGACTGGGGAAGAGATAAATAGATGAGGTAGCTACCCTAATTTTAAAGGCAGTATCTGTAACTGCATGGTGATGGCTGTCACATTTCATATTTTCCTTAATGTTTATGACATTCAAGTCCTTCCTTTAGATAACGCAGCCGTAGTATGCCATTAAATGTCTTTGTAATCTGCTGATACAATGCGTGATGGCTTGATCCTTCTTTATAGGTCAGTGAATTTAAATTGCATTAATTTTAATTGGATTCACACACACAAATATATTTGCCATTTTATGAGGCAAGTTTCACCAGTTTAAAATGTGATTTTGTTCTTTTTCAAATGGATGCTTCAGGGAAGGTTGATGCCATCCAAAATGTGTAGCCAGTCCCAGTGGAACTAGCTCTGTTATTTTTGTTTTCTACCCTTAATTTGAAAACTCAGGTTCAATTCTTTTCTCCTAGGCATACACAGATTACAGTGACTCCGTTTCCAGGAGAATGGGCTTTATTCCTCTCCCATTGGCTGTTCTAGTAAGTCATGTCTTCGTTGTCATTTTGCAAACTCCCTTGGTAAGTGGTGAAAATTTTACCAAGGGATGATATATATTCCAAAACCCTTGAATTGCTATTTTTGAAGAGGGGTATTATGTGATGTAGCCCCAGAACATAGTTTCCTCAAGTACTGTGAGGTTAAAGCTTGGCTGAAAATGGTATATATTCTTATGTAGCTTTCTTTTAAAATTAAAATGTCTCTTTAGACTTTACTGTGAGAGCTTGGGTTTTGGTGATACAGACTTCCAAGTTAAAAACGTAGTAAACGAAACCAAAAATGATCCTGCAAAAATGTCCAAAAGGGGGAAAAATATTCTCTATAAAAAGCAACCAGCAGAAAGCCCCAGCAGAGAGAGAGAGCAAAATTAACAAATGCCTGGGAGAAGAAACGGCTTATAGCCTTGCACTGGAAAGATGATGATGTTGGTGGCAGGCAAACTTTCTTGAGGAGAATGGAGGTCCACTTGTTACCAGCCTCCACATCTTTGCTGAAGGGGACACTCAGAGGAAGGCCTTTAATAACAAAGTCCAAGGAGTCTACTGCTGGAAAAGTCTTCTATAAGGTATTGGAATCCCAAGCCATGTAAGGCTTCATAGGTCTAAACCAGCACTTAAAATTTGCTCCAGAAATTTATTGGATGCCAGTACATATGTTCAATAACTAACTTATGCACCACCTGTAGTTTCCAGCCAATCTTCAAAGGCAGCCTCAGGTGCCACACATTGCAGCAATCTAACCTTGAAGTTGCCAGAGCAGAGGCAAACTTGGCCCTCCAGCTGTTTTGGGACTACAGCTCCCCCCCCATCCCTAGCTAACAGGATCAGTGGTCAGGGGTGATGGGAGTTGTAGTCCCAAAACATCTGGAGGGCCGAGTTTGCCTATGCCTGGACTAGATGCTAGATTATCCACACCCACATTGCTGGGCCACCAGCCAAAGCTGGTAGAAGGCACTCTGAGCTGCTGGGACAGTATTGGGTCCAGAAGTATCCCCCAAGCTGCAAATCTGGTCCTTCAAGGGAAGCATAATCCCATTCCATTTTAATGGTTTATCATGATAATGGTTTATCATTATCACTTACATTGTCAGAGGAACCACTCACCAACAGTATATTTGTCTTGTCTGGACTGAGCTTCAAATTATTGACCCTCATCCAGTCCATTACCTTTGTCAGTACTGGTTCACCACATCAGCCTCCACAACTGCTTGTGATGAAAGGAATAAATAGAGCCGTGTGATCAACATATTGATAACAACACATTCCCAAATCCTGCAGAGCCCCACCTTGATGACCTTACGGGTCTGAGCAGCACTCCCCTTTCACCTGTTGGAATTGGCTAAGTAGAACTGGAACCTTTACCAAGCAGTACTTCCACCACTACCTTGGACAGCTGAATGAAAAGACAATATGAAAGGGGAGGAGAGATCCCATAGCCAGCTTTGAAGAGTAGTTAAGATAATGTCACGCTACTGAAATTCTTACTCCATGTGTTTCAAAAGGCGCAAGGTTTCTTAAAAAGGATGGTGTGTAGAAAGATAGAAAATATCTGAAATTCTTTTACATAATTATTAGAACTATTTTCATTTTTTAATGCCCAGATTTGTTATCGTTCTTTTATTTTAAAAATGCTTAACTGTGTTAACTCATTTCTTCCTCTAGCTCATCAGAGTTGTTACAAGTTCAGTAAAAGTTCAAGGAGTCTTGGCTTATGCTTGTGTTGTTCTCTTCTACTGTGGGTAAGTACAGATCAAACAATTTGTAAAAATGTTTCATTTAGGAGACTTTAATTGGAAGAATTGATGTAAGCAGTATACAGTAGTACCCTGGCTTACGTTACCCTCGGGTAACATAAACTTCGGGTTGAGAAAGCGGCAAACCCGGAAGTGTTTTGCTGCATGCGCAGAAGCGCACTACCGCATCGTGCGCATGCGCAGAAGCAGTCCCTCTGGTTGCAGAAACCTCGGAGCTCCGGAACGGATCCTGTCCGCAACCGGAGGTACCACTGTAGTTGGATAAAGTCACTTTTGACAGACTGAAGTGAGCCATGGGAAAGTGTTCTTTATGTATTAGATAATAATGTAAAGCACTTGATTATGTACTTGCACCTTCTTTATAGCAACCCATACTACACACACCTATGGATCTGAATGACAATTTATGTGGTCTAGGGGCCCTAACTGTCAAAATGCTTCTGCTCTTGACTCATTTTGGTTTTCTTCCTTGGCATCTTTTTGGCAGTGATGGGGGGTCATGACAAATGCAGGCAACTGGATGGCTTTGCCATACTTCACAAGCATAAAATGCTTCTCTTTATATATAATAATGTGCAGTCCCCATTGCAGGATTTGTAGTGCTACATCGGTATCCTATATTTGCATGAAGTCAGGATGGGGTAGGGGAGCAAAACGAAAGCAGGTTGCACAACAGCTGTGGCCGTGGCATGGGAGTGAGAAGGTGGAAACACTCAGAGGGGGAAAGTGGTGGCTTCAAAGAATGGCAGAAATTTGAATCAGGCAGGGATGGAGGAGACAGAGAGGGAAGAAGTGGCGATTCTGACATATCCGCTTCCTGTTTTTGGAATCACTTCATACATACTTGTTACTTGCAGGTTGATATCACTCAAAGTACTTAATAGCATTGTGCTCTTGGGAAAGTCATGCCAGTACGTCAAAGAAGCAAACATGGAAGAGAAGTTGTTCAACCCGCCTCCTGCTAGCACCCCAGGCAAACCACTAGGCAAATCACAAAGCAAGTACAAGCCCACTCAAGGTGAGCGGAACCTAGTACTTCTGGACTTCTGTCATATCTCTCGTCTACTGTGCAGCGTCGCTTTGTCCTTGGAAGCACCAACTAAAGTGTTAGGAAACCGCAGGGGTCCATGTAACTCAGAGTATTGCTTCCAGTATTGACCCAATAAAAGGCATCTTCATGTTTTTGATCACTTAAAAATATCTGGCACTTTGGGGAAAATGCCAAATATTCACTGTTCTGAATTAGAACAGACCTGAATTTTTAATTTCTCCAGGAAGAATAAGAGGCCTTATTGTGGGATCCGGGCAAAGTTAATGAAGCTGGCTGGTTTCAACCATCCATTGTTAAAATTAACCACAGCTTGGGGTTCACAATTAAGGCTGAATTGAAATCTAAAGCAAAACCTCTGAACTTCTTGCAGCCATGCTTGCAGAGAGGAGAGGGGAAAGCTGAGTATGTGAGCCCACAGGAAGTTAAGGTCTTTTCCATTTCTAGATTTTTTTTCAAAGCACAGCATTTGGTTTTTGTTTTATCCTAGTCTTACAAGGGGCTCCCAGCATTTTTTCAGTTAAGCCGCTTCCTAGGTCTACACTCCATTAGTTTCAGTAAGGTTAAAACATCATTCACTCCTGGTCCATTCCTCATGCCCTTCGAACAGTAATAGCACCACATTTGAGACCTGAGGAACTCAAGTCACAGTATTGGGATTAAAGTATATTAGTCCAGTCAGTTACTAACTTCTAACAGACCACTTCATCTTATCTGGGTTATTTATAAGCACTTTGAACAGGGCAATTCCAAAAATTATATTGAATTTGATCATTTTATTTCTTAAAAGATTCACCTTTGTTTTCATTGCTCCTAACAACAGGCTTAGGGATTTGGGTGGCGTTGTGGTCTAAACCACTGAGCCTCTTGGACTTGCCGATCAGAAGGTTGGCGGTTCAAATCCCCGTGACGGAGTGAGCTCCCGTTGCTCGGTCCCAGCTCCTGCCAACCTAGCAGTTCGAAAGCATGCCAAAAAGTGCAAGTAGATAAATAGGTACTGCTCTGGCGGGAAGGTAAACGGCGTTTCTGTGCGCTTCTCTGGTTTCACCCGAAGCTGCTTAGTCATGCTGGCCACATGACCCGGAAAAACTGTCAGCGGACAAACGCCGGCTCCCTCAACCAGCAAAGCAAGATGGGCGCTGCAACCCCAGAGTCGTCTGCGACTGGACTTAACTGTCAGGGGTCCTTTACCTTTACCTTCCTTTACAACAGACTTGGCTTCCAAGGAACTAAGCTTTTAAGAAAATGCGATAGAATGGTTTTCGAGTTATTACTTATTTACTATGTAGCCTGATTAATTCCATAAAGTTTTAAATTTCAGTATCTGATGTGGCATGGTTGAGGCCACCCAACCCAGTGGCTGGGGTATAAATAATAACATTATTATTATACGTCTGATTTCAGCAGAGCAGGGCTGGGAAACCTCTTTTGGCCCAACAGCCAACCTTCCAAGGGTTGGGCAAGCTCAAAGGTGAAAGAGAATTGGGCAAAAGATAATAAAGAACATTCCAAAGAACATTCCTCCCAGTGTAGCAAATTAAAGTGAAATAAAAACTGATCTCTGGTAAATCACTATCTCCATTTGTGCTTTTGAAGGACAGTAAAGTGTAGAGTTGGTGTAAATCATGTGTCAGCGAGCCATTCATCCTTCCCTGCTTTTGTTTAGCATTTCTTTGTGTACCCATACATAGTAATCACTAGCAACTTCTGCCATAACTGAGCTCCCTTACTTACTGGAGTTGTCAGAGAGGGCTGGTATGGTTTTATCTTTAACAACCTGAAGGTATCAAAAAGGTTATTTTTTTCATTAGAAATGCAAAAGTTAGAAGGTTACTGACATGGCTTAAACGGGAGTATGTAACACTACTGTCAACAAAAGAGAGAAATTATGTGGCAGGATTTTATGCCCTGATACCCCAAGTTTACTGAGTTGCCTTGCATATCTGTTGAACAGATCTTTAACTTGCTAACCCTGCAGTGCAGTGACAAGTCAATAAACATACAGATCTGTAATCAGCGTCTTCTCCCACTGTGCGAAGTCCTAATTTCTATTTTCCATGCATGAATTTCCACAGATGAAAACCTGTCTGCTTCCGTGACCAGTCAGCCTGTACACCAGAAGGAAAATGCAGCGCCGCAGCTTGTGACGAGCAACTCGGATCAGTTCCTGACAACTCCTGATGGAGATGAGAAAGATATAAGCCAGGACAGTTCTGAGTCAAAACACACATCTGCAAAGAAAGATTTGTTGGAGATAGACAGGTTTACAATTTGTGGAAACAGAATTGACTAAACTTTTGTAAATAAAATGTGCTTAGTATACTGAGCTGTTGGGACAGCAGGCGCTGCCACGATGGATGGGTGCCAAACAAGGCACTTAAAAATATTTATTTAAAAACTTAAATTATTAATGGCAGACCTATTACAGTGAATAACTTGGCTTGATAACCAATCAAGCTTCACATCGTTAACTTGGTTGTGTTGGAAAATGTGAGTTTTGAGAGATCTTCCGCTTGGCAAAGCTACAGCATCGCTTTCCTGAAAAATAACGTGTGAAATATATTTAAATCCATTTTTACGAAACAGTGCTTCCAGAACGCATCACTATTCATAAAGCCCCTTAATTAGAAGGATAACATTGGGAACATGTTTGCGTCTTTAACAACAAGCATCCCTTTCTGCTTTCATAAGCCACTACAAAACATTTCAAAACTCTTCACCTGCCAAAAGACTTTTTCAAACTTTTAGTAGAATACATAATCAAGATATTCTTGCTACGAGAGGATTGTTCAAAATGTACTTCATCTAATCCAAATAAATCACCCTTAAAGGAAATATTTACTGCATAATATTTTTGTCTAAATGTTAAGACTGTAGCCAGAAATTGACCAACAACAGGGAATAGTGGACTGTGCGATAACTGGGCAAGAACAACTTTTTCTTCCTTTCTGTTTAATTTGCACTGTGTTTTAAACATGAAAAGCTTGAGTTTGTAAATGTTAAAAGTGGACAAGCTTGGGGGAGGAAGGGCAAAATCAACATGTGGGATTGCACTTGGCACTTAAAGATGTTTCATTTGCAACTGTGAGCCCTTGCATTGAAATAGACAAAATAAGTTACTTGTACATGGTAATGTGTCAGTCAGCTAAGAGCATTTCTTTGACTTTGCTGGAAAAGCTACACACGGCCAAAAATGGAGACAGCCTCAAATAGGTGGTTTTAGTTTTAGACTTTTAAGTAGAATGAATGTTGCTGTAGAAGTACTTGGGCTTTGAAGTATTAAGCTGTGTTACTTGGGGTGCATAGGGCTCGGGAAACAAGCAAAGAGGAATTCAAGAAGGGTTGAATCTGGAATAACAGACATTTCAGCTCAGCATAGTGAGAAAGCCTGCTGCACTCAAAGTGCTTTCTTGCTACCTGATGGGCAATGTCTACAAAACACAATGCAATATTTAAAACTTTTTAAATATGAGATTTTTTTGTGCTGATTAGATCTTTGTTGGTTCATTTATTAGCTATTGCAAAGTGGCCCAGAAAAGAATGAGAAGTTATACTAAATTTTAAAATTCAAAATACATGTTTATTCCTCCAAAGCTGCAGATACTGTTGCTAAAATAAAATCAGTGTACAGAAATTAAATTCAGATGAAGAGGCTTCAATGAATGCTAAAAAGGTGGGAATATATAGGCTGTTCTGAAGTAGCCATTCACCAGCCCACACCCCTTTTATCAAGCCTCTTTTCTCACTTCAGCTTGAAGAAGTGGCCAAAGTTAAGAATACAGTGGGAGTAGGAATTTTAAAACTAAGCTAGAAATATACAGAAATGATTGTTTCAGATGTGTTCGTTTTGACAAATTTTGATCATTAAAATTTAATTCAGAATATTTGTGAATTTGTTGTAATTTAATTTTTATTTAATTGTTGCTCAAGGGAAGCTTGGAATGATTTTCCCCCCTCTTAAATGATATTCTGTATGAATTTTATAAGTGCATCTTGTGTGACAATAAAAAATCAATTTTGTATCCTTTGTTTAAAAAAATTCAAGGCTCTGCTTCTCTTGCTGGAATGAAACTCAGTGTTGAATATGGTTATATGGAACATAAATACTTAACACTAGGGTCCAGAATACCTTCTATGTAAGTACAAAGTGCTACTGTGTCCGCGCAGATGAGGGGTGATATTTCCTTCCAGCAGCATCTCATGCCATTCCACAATTCTTTTGGAGGACAGGAATCTGCCTGTGGAAGGAAGACCTAAATAAACAAAGAAAACCTCTCTGTGCTCTTGATGTGCTGTATGTGGTCATTTGGATCCCGGTCAATACCTTTCAATTAACTAAATGCTACTTTTTTTGCTAAAGGTTGGTTAACAACCTCTCTCCCTTGGGAAAAATATGTTTTCATGTTCCTCACTTGAGGGCTTGCTGCTGGAGCTGACATGAATTTACTACAGAACTGATCATAGTTAAATTGATGTGAAATATCTAGACACTTTCGGATATAATGTTGTGGATTTGCTGATTCTTCGTGAGTTCCAAAGCCAGGCTGGGTAGGAATGAGAGACGTAAGACTCAAACTTCGTGGTGAATGTTGGAACCCAATAAAAGTTACTGTTCCCCTGTTCACTCTACCATCCTGATGCTTTATGAACCTCTGCAAGCGTGAGCCAACTTTTAATAAATCCATACTCTGCCTGTTCATTCACATGTCCACGCTAGCTTAATAGCTAATAGTCCATGGTAGCGTAATGTTGTGCAGATGCCCAATTATCGTCTTCCAAAGCAACTACTCTATTCCGAACTTTAAAATGGAAAGCGTAATGCTGGTGGTCAACAAAAGAGGTTTAAAGACCGTCTCAAGGCAAATCTTTAAAAATGTAGTATAAACACCAGCAATTGGGAAACACTTGCCTGTGAGTGCTCCAATTGGAGAACAGCCTTCACCAAAGGCTTTGAAGACACTTGAACTCAGGACGCAAGGGAGAAGCGTGCTAAGAGGAAGGCACGCTTGGCAAATCCACACCATGATCAACTCCCACCAATGTCCCCACTGTGGAACAGCCACAGTCACTTACGGACTCATTGTTAAAACCGTGTTTATGGAAGACAGTCTTACTCAGCTATGAGCGATCGCCAAAGAAGAAGAAGAAAACAGCAACCCAACCCAACTCTGATCAGCTCCAGCCAGTGTGGCTGTTTTAAACTGCAGGGGATGGCTTGTGTTAGCAGAAAACATTTCTATCCTTTCAAGACTTAAGTTATTTCTCCTATCTCTCCCAAATTTCAAACAAAATTCTACATTAACCACATTACAGTGGTACCTTGGGTACCACTTAATTCGTTCTGGTACCTCGGGTACCACTTAATTCGTTCCGGAGGTCCGTACTTAACCTGAAACTGTTCTTAACCTGAAGCACCACTTTAGCTAATGGGGCCTGCTGCTGCTACCGCGCTGCCAGAGCACGATTTCTGTTCTCATCCTGAAGCAAAGTTCTTAACCCGGGGTACTATTTCTGGGTTAGCGGAGTCTGTAACCTGAAGCGTATGTAACCTGAGGTACCACTGTAGTTGGTTAATACAATGTGAGCAAAATAGATCAAAACAGAGCCATAGTTTTCAGACATTGCACTTTCATGGACTCTGAATTGGGTATGCATTCATAAACAGTTCTGGCCAAGATTCTCAAGTTGCATTGCATTGCCACTTTGTATGCACCATGTGCATGTAATACAATGCATCTAATAGACTGTAGGATTCTTGTGTTGAATTTTATTGCATGCTACATTGTGGATTATATTCCTCACATGCATGCACATGGTACCTTTAGTGTAAATGCACTTGCCAAGATTTCAGACTATTGGTGCTGGCCATTGCTGCAGTACCAGAGCTCAGCTAACTTAATTTCATTATTTTATGACTGAATTGGTTGTAAACAGCTTGCTTGGCTCCGTGTATAAGACAAACCACTAGTATTCATGTCTTCAGAGTAAGTCCCGCTGATGCCAACTGGACTTCTTTCCAAATAAGTGTCCCTACTACCGAGACCTGGGATTCCTTCATATCTACAGTTTCTCCTTTGCAAGAACGAAGCAGCTGTGTTCAATTCAGTCCACGGGGCTTGCCTCTGGCTAAAGAGTGGGGAGCTGCATTTAGTCGGCCTATGTCAAAAGAAAGCCAGCCTCTGTACCCTTAATCAGGGAAACAGAAATCCAGATGATTTGACTGCTCTGGCCTTACATGTGAGCACAGCTGCTCATGTGTTTGCCTAGTGAACCGGCAGGTCCACAGCTCACTTATATAGACCTCAGGCAAGTGATTCATGTTGGACAGCAAGCCTGGGTTGACTTGATTGCCTGGAAGGAGGCGACAGAAAATATATATATACCAAAATACAATTCCTAGGTTTTCATGCAAGACTGGGGTCTCTTCCCTACCCCCACCCCTTTTAAGGGGTGACTGAAGCTTTAGCACAAGTCTTTTATTATTTTTATTTATTGGAATGGAATCTATCGGTGCCCACTTGCCTTTGATTAACGTATTTTTCGCCCTATAGGACGCACTTTTCCCCCTCCAAAAATGAAGGGGAAATGTGTATGCGTCCTATGGGGCGAATGCAGGCTTTCGCTGAAGCCTGGAGAGTGAGAGGGGTTGGTGCGCAGTGACCCCTCTCGCTCTCCAGGCTTCAGGAAGCTCTGCGCAACCCTCGGGAGCCCGGCGCGAAGTCGCGCCGGGCTCCCGAGCGCTGCACAGAGCTGCCTGCAGTCCCGGGCTTCGTGCAGTTCTGTGCAACCCTAGAGAGCCCGGTGCGAAGTCGCGCCAGTCTCCCAAGGATTGCGCAGAGCTGCCTGCATTCTGAAGCCTGGGGCGCGCTGAAGAGCGCGCCCGGGCTTCGCGCACCTCTCCGCATGCCTGGGGAGACCGGCTCCCTAGGCTTGCGGATAGCAGGCTGTTCTCGGGGCTGGGGTCGGGGGAAGCTCGGGCTTCCCCTGCGCCAGCCCCGCGCCTGGGGGGGAAATAATTTTTTTTTCTTTATTTCCCCCCCCCAAAAAAAAACTATGTGCGTCCTATGGGGCGGTGCGCCCTATGGGGCGAAAAATACGGTACTACAAATGAGTTTGAGCTCCTTGTTCACATGCGGTAGCCTTGCCAACAAGTCTGCATGCCAGCGGTGAACACAGATTGCACAAGCCTTAGTGATTGTGTTGAGAAAATGCTGGTACAATGAACATCCTACGGTCTTCCCTTTGTGGTTTGGGCAAGGTTCAATTCCCCTCCCTCTCCCGCAAGCAAATTGCAATTGCAGTATAACTCTTCAGATTTAGATTGAAGGTGGGGGCAAATTGAAAGACTTTGATTCAAAGTCCTCTTTGTAACGGTAAATAATGCACCTTTGTGTCGCAGTACAAATAGTTTCCTATTCACTTGACCCTATGTTGTAGTAAGTAAATGGTCCAGTTACATCCGCAGATTCATTTTAGAAGATGATACTCTGTTTCTTCTCAAACTATAATTGAGTTTCCACATTTTGTTGTTGCAATTATGATACCTGGTGACAGATGAGGGAAGGATGAATTCTGTATCAAATATGCCACAGAATACTTTTTAAAGGAAGATTGGGAGGGGGGGTATAATGTAACAAACTTGATCTTCAGGGGGGAGAGATTTCACATACAAAAGTCCAGCTCATGAACAAGATAAATGACAGTTGCTTAAAAGATTTTGCTGGATAAGGAATAAAATTCTAACTCTCGTACTCTTTCTGGGTCATTTCAGCCGCACGCTAGAGAATTGTACAATATGCTCCAAAGCCAGACCCAGATGCTATTCCTCAGTGCATGTGTGTAGAATGGCAGCTTAAATATCGCCCACTTAAATAAGCATCAGGTTTGAGTTCAATATATTTGCACCTATGAGCTCAACAGCAGTGGTTGAATGCAGCAGCAGCTACAGTAATATAATACAGTAATTATTTTCTGATCTGTCTGCATTGCCAACTCAATAGGAACACCCAGTTGAGCTGCAGATCTTAGATGTTTCCTCCACAGTGACCCACTTAATTTCATTAGGATTTAAATGTAGCTAACTTGCTCTGGATTGGGGAACTTTGTATTAAATAAAATCACTGCTTCCTTCAACAGAAGATATTTGAATGAAATCTTCGACTCCAAATGACTCAAAGTCAAAATTCTGATAGTTCTTCCGAGTAGAAACAAGCATTATATTTATAACACAACACTATGGTTTAGAACTGTTGGCCACCGGGGGTAGATTACAGATTACAGTATATATTTCCTGTGCGGTAATTTAACATGGTTGTCTTGTAATCACTTGGCAGATTGGTTGTGTTAAGTGGTGAAGGTATTTTTTTACTCTCCTGATTTGTGAGTGACTGTGGGTGTGTGGTAGAATTCTAACATGTTAAAACATGGCTGGTATATCATGCACAAACCCAGAAAGCTGTCTGTGGACAAACACCGGCTCCATCAGCCTGAAGTGAGATGAGCGTCACACCCCATAGTTGCCTTTGACTGGACTTGACCATCCAGGGGCCCTTTGCCTTTGCCACAAACCATAGTGAGTGACTGTTAGTTGGCAGACAACTATTTGGTGAACTGCTATCTGTAGCCACCCAGTGTGAAACTAAGAGTTCAAACTGAGGGCCAAACTAATTAGAGCAGTTGATACTTTCCATACTGGGTGTTGTGACATGTTACTGTGTTGGCCGCAGTGTTTAGGTGTATCATGCGAAAGCTCTTATAAAGAGTTGGTTTAACATTTGATTTGCTAGTACAGTGGTACCTCGGGTTACAAACGCTTCAGGTTACAAACACTTCGGGTTACAAACTCCACTAACCCGGAAGCAGTTCCTCGGGTTAAGAACTTTGCCCCAGGATGAGAATGGAAATCGTGCGCTGGCGGTGCGGCAGCAGCGGGAGGCCCCATTAGCGAAAGCGCACCTCAGGTTAAGAACAGTTTTGGGTTAAGAACAGACCTCTGGAACGAATTAAGTTCGTAACCCAAGGTACCACTGTAAAACTGAATTACTGTGTCGTGAAATGATGCGTGTCTAAAAGTGTGTCACCAACATGAAAAGTTTGGAAAGCTCTGCTTTATTCAAATATCCTCCCCATTCTCATATGAAGAAAGATTTCATTCTTGTGCCTGGGCTGACAGGAGGTGACTTCATGATGTCACAAAGGCCAGCCAACCATTGCTGTGCACAGCTGGCTTCTGCTGGGAACTATCTGAACCAAATTTCTCTTGACCTTGATCCTACAGTGGAAATTGACCAAAACAGGGCGAGTGCAGGTCCACAATAGCTTGGTATCTCAAATGATTTTTGTCTATGTGCGTTCTCAGCCAGCCAACCACCCAAGGCTTTGCTTTCTCCCCAAGGTTGTTGTTGGAGAAAATAAAAGATGCAAGTTGAGGCCATTTGATATTGAACCATCCCTTCTCTTTACAGCTTCATTGAAATGCCAGGTGTCAGGGGCACTTCCCAGCCAAAGGAATGCGCACAGCACATAGTTAAGTATTTATTGTGAAAGATAACACAGTTGCTCTTGTCTCTTGTCTAGCACAAGGGTTTTAAAAAGCACTGGGAAAATGCAGAGAATACTTCACAAAACAGTGCCCTAAAATACATACCTGG